GCGGTCGACAAGCGAGACCTCTCTGTCGCAGCGAGCTGAGCGAGCGTTCCGAGGACTTTCGCCACCAAGGTCACTGTCGCCAACAGCCTGTCGGAGATGAGGACCTACCTGGACCAGCACAAGGCGGCACCGGCCGCCACGTCCCCGAAAGGTAGCGCACTCGGCCCGCCTTCGTCCGCCGCCCCACCGTACGGCACGATAAGTTCCATTCCGTGTAACTCTTCTTACAGTCGACTTTGCGTGGCGTTACGAAACCTAACGTGCATGTGTGCAGGCAAGTACTTTCGTAACACCGCCGAGCTCGTGCGCACGGCGGCCGTACAAGTCTGGCGCAAGCGCGCCCGGCCGCGCACTGACGCCCCCCTGCCGGCCGCAGACGGCGACCCGCTGCCGGGCGACTGCTCCGACGTCCAGGTGTCGGGCGACGGCCGGCTGTCCGGCATCTACCAGGTGCGGGCCCGCGCGGCGCCCTCCAGCCCATCTTCGTCTACTGCGACCTGGAGACGGACGGCGGCGGATGGGTGGTGAGTGCTCGCGCCGCGGCCCCCTCGGCTCCCGCCCGTCCGGGCCGTGCCCGTCCCGGCGTGGTCGCGGCCAGCCCAGGAGGCACCTGGGCCGGACCACGCCCGGGCCGTGGCGGACTACAGCGAGAGCCGGGGCCGTCGGCCGATCCGACCCGAAGGATCAAGAGCGCCGCGTCCCCCCTCGGTCATCGGGGCGACAACCGAGCGATGTTCAATGGCGCCGGTGTTCCGCTGACCCCGACCCCGTGACCTTTAGGTGATCCAGCGCCGGCTCAACGGCGAGGAGGACTTCTTCCAGGACTGGCTGGCCTACAAGTACGGCTTCGGTAACCTAGGCGGCGAGTTCTGGCTGGGCAACCAGAACATCCACCTGCTGACCACACACCGGGTAAGACGGGCTGCGCTTAACACGCGTAGAATGCATCGCGCCACACATCCGTTTCGACACAGAAGCCTACTCCACCACGCCATCGGTGAAGCCAAAAGCACCCCTGCGTATTTCGACTCGGTATGTCGGGAACCCAGAGCAACGTGTGGGTGAGTCCGGACGGCACGCACACGGCCTGCGCTGCGTCCCAGGCTTTAAAAGCGCTTCAATGAATACGCGAAAAAGCCGGTCTTCGCCAATCGGCCGTGACTCGTCCCTGACGCTGGCCTGCCGCCGCCGCCACCAGCTGAACGAGCTGCGCGTGGAGCTGGCCGACTTCCCGCGCGAGCGACCCGGCTACGAGAACTACTCGGGCAGCAACGCCACGGCCAACTACGCCGCCTTCGCCGTCGGCTCGGAGACCGAGGGCTACTCACTAAAGATCCTCGACAACTACTCCGGCGACGCCGGTGGGTTTCGCTGATGTGTAGACGCAGTGGGAACGCTGCGTCCGTCGAGTACGCTCGTCGGCTGGGACGCCGAGCCACGGCGAGCACTGAGTCGAGGCAACGCTGTGGTAAAACACTGCTGAGGCAGGGAGGTCGACGACATATTCTGGAGCGAGGGAGTGGGAAATCGGCTCTGGCCCAGGATCTCGGACGAACATACTTAAAACTTGTACAAATCGACTGTAGCCACCATTGATAAGCATACAACTGTTGAGACCGACCCATGACGGACATGCAGCGGTGTGGAACGGCGCCTTGCATGGAGTACGACCACACCAATAGGATAACTGCATCGCCCCCGAGAATGACAACCTTTCCGCACAGGTGACTCCCTGAAGTATCATGCGGGCATGAAGTTCTCGACCAAGGACATGGACAACGACCTGTGGAAGGAGGACAGCTGTGCCGTCGCCCACAAGGGCGGCTGGTGGTACAAGGGCTGCGACTCCAGGTGAGGTTGCTGTCGTTGTTTATTGAGGTTTCGGGGCCCGCCGCCTACAGCGGCCCTAGGTGAGGGGACGCCGGCGCCGCGTCATGCTGGCTGTGGCGCGGCCAGCCAGGCGTCCACGTCCACACCGACATATCACCCTCTCATTCTGACGAGCTCTCGCACCCAGTCCCCTCAGCAGCCCCCGGCGGACCACCGTGGCGAGCAACCGAAAACCTAGCACGTCGGGTCGCCCCAGCACGCCCAATCTTCCCTGCCTCGTGATTCCCCGCCGCCGCACCCATCGGCGATGACGTCACTCTAAACGTCACACACCGTGTCCGCAGCAACCTGAACGGCCTGTACCTGAACGGTCCGGTGCCCAGCGAGTATGAGTACCAGGTGGCGTACTGGTACGACTGGCGCGGCCCGCTCTACTCGCTGTACAAGACCAAGATGATGGTGCGGCCGGGCCGACCATCGCCAGCGGGCCGCCGACGCGCGCAAGAGAGGTGAGACGCGGCCTTTACGCCGGCCGGTGACGTCACACCGGCGGACTGCGCGGCCAGCGGGTGCGTGATCGGGCCTGATACGCGGCTGGCAGCACTCGCTGCGCATCACATCATGTGGCCATGACGACGGGAACCCACTGTCTTCACCGGTGGGTAGGGGCCGGGCCTGATGGGCCATTTTCACTAGCTCGTCGACATGGTCTGCCCGGCAGCGCTTGCATTACCAAACTGGTTATTCACGATCCGGCCGTTCGACGAGAAAGACACGCCACGTTGCCAGGCAACCTCACGTCCCGCCCTCACCATGTTCCCCGATGAGTGTAGCTCCCCCAGCGGAGGGCGCCACCGCCCCGGCTGGGCTGCGCCGGCTCGTGTGCGCGGCGCCTGACACCGCCGCCCGTGCACTGCAGGGCTCGGGCCGCGACGGGCGAGGTGGCAGCAAGACGGCGGGCACAGCGTCGGTCGTCGACGCAGACCGTGCGTCGAAACCGACGGCGGCGCAACCGGCGTCGGAAGCAGCGCCGCTACACGTACTGAGCGGCCGGCCGGGAGGGGGCGCCCGAGGCGCGCGGCCAACAGCGCCGGGCGGCGGGACAGCGCGGAGAGGGCCAGGCCCCTGGCAGGGGGGCGACACACGGCGGACGGGCGGACCGGTATCAAGCGGACACGGCGGGGTCACGGCCGACGGCCGGCGCAAGCCACGCGCCTAGCGGCAGTGAGTGAACACTTGCGGGCGGCAGCGATGCTGACGGACGCCACAATACTGCCTTTGTCTGAGGGGAACTCGACTCTTCCTTAATGAGCTTAAACACTGCCAGTGCACTTTACGACTAGGTGTGGGCGCCCGTGCCGCATCACATTTTCGGTCGTCCTGAGAATTGGGTAGCAATGTGTCGGATCAACTGCCGAAATAATCGCCAGCGAACTGTCTGTGAAAACAATAGCCCGTAGCCCGCACACTATTAACCATGAGAGCGCTTATATGTAAGATTGCCGTTTTGTTTCCATACCAGAGTAGCGGAGAGTGCGTGGTTCGCATCGCCCGCGTAGTGACCGGGCAATGCGAGGCACATCAGGTGTGTTAAGTGACGAGCGAAAATAAATGACTCCCGCCATAGTGCCTATCAGGTCATGTCATATCGCTTCATCTCTGTCAGACAAAATCTTCAGGTCACCAATGCACCCATACTGGTCCGGAAAGAAACTTGGATCTAGGTTCTTAATAATAAACAACTGCGAAAACCCGGCGTCCGTCGCACGACAGGCACGGCACAACACAGTACTGTGCGGCAAGGAAATAAGCTCTCGAAAACCCGCTCCAGGCAGGCATACGTTGTGCACGGCACTCTCCCCCACCCGAACTGCTGACGCTTAAATGCCAGCTGCGTCACCTGGCGCCGGCAGCCGAAACATGCAACGCACCACTGGAGCGAGAACACTGCCGTTGAAAGTCGCAGTACCCTTATTGCTCGTATTATTCATGGTCCAGTACTTCAAAAGTCAAAGAAGTCTCGTCGCTGAATGGAAGAAAAAGTCACAGAGCTTCGTGCTACCGTATTTTCACTTCATAATTTTCTATCCATCACAGACTGTCGTCGCAACCGCCAGGTCCTGCCGCCGACGCCCGCCGCAACAGACTCCTGCAGCTTTCGTTAGTGACGTGAATTTCGAAACCGCAGCCGTCGCTGGTAAACCAGCAATCCGCAGGAGTACAGCGACCGACAGCTTCACAGGGAACAGGTCTGCCGTTTTCTGGCAGTCCCGATATTACTAACTTCACCGCGTTGGCAAAACCACTCCGTCTGCACGAACTGACACCGTGGACCTGCAGCGCAGAATAGAGCCAGTCTGCTCGGGTCTGGCGGACCAGACACCACAGTCTGCACTACACTAGCCGAACGATCTGCTTTGGTTTGGCATCCACGACACCAACAGACCACTGCACGCACTAAGCTACAGCAGGTCAAGGAACCGTCATCTGCACCCGTGAGGCAGCCAGCGTGAATCGGCGGGGGACAGAGCACGGCTGACTGAGCCCTGAGTCCCTCCGAGCACCAGCCGCTGGCGGTGGGGCGGGGGACGGGGGCAGGGCGGGGCGGGGAGAACCGGGGCGGGACAGAGCACGGCTGACTGAGCCCTGAGTCCCTCCCAGCACCAGCCGCTGGCGGTGGGGCGGGGGCGGGGGCCGGGCGGGGCGAGGCGGGGAGAACCGGGGCGGGACAGAGAGCACGGCTGACTGAGCCCTGAGTCCCTCCCAGCACCAGCCGCTGGCGGTGGGGCGGGGGACGGGGGCAGGGCGGGGCGGGGAGAACCCGGGGCGGGACAGAGCACGGCTGACTGAGCCCCTGAGTCCCTCCCAGCACCAGCCGCTGGCGGTGGGGGCGGGGGGCGGGGGGCCGGGCGGGGCGAGGCGGGGAGAACCGGGGCGGGACAGAGCACGGCTGACTGAGCCCTGAGTCCCTCCCCAGCACCAGCCGCTGGCGGTGGGGCAGGGCGGGGGCCGGGCGGGGCGGGGAGAACCGGGCGGGACAGAGCACGGCTGACTGAGCCCTGAGTCCCTCCCAGCACCAGCCGCTGGCGGTGGGGCGGGGGCGGGAGCAGGGAGGGGGCGGCAAGAAGCGGGGGCGGGGCGGAGGTGGCAAGCGGCGGCGGCCGACTCACCGATGAGGAAGCCATCTGCCAGGAGAAGCCGACCGTCTTGGCCTTGATGTGGATGCGGTCGGCGCGCCGCTCGCTGACGGCGCCGATGCGGCGATGGTCGCGAAGTAGCTCGTCCCGCCGCTCGTCCAGCTCCAGCACTGCCAGCCGCGCTCGCTCCCGCGGGCTGATTAGCGACAGGCCTGACACAGGACACACGGCAGGATCAGCGACAGGCCTGGATACAGGACAAACCGCAGGGTCAGCGACAGGCATAGATACAGGACACACAGCAGTATCAGTGACAGGCCTGCACACAGGACACATGGCAGGATCAGTGGCAGGCCTGGATACAGGACACACAGCAGGATCAGTGACAGGCCTGCACACAGGACACATGGCAGGATCAGTGACAGGCCTGGATATAGGACACACCACAGAATCAGTGACAGGCCTGGACACAGGACACATGGCAGGATCAGTGGCAGGCGTGGATACAGGACACACGGCAGAATCAGTGACAGGCCTGGACGCAGGATACACGGCAGGATCGGCGGTGAGAGGCCTGGACACAGGACACACGGCAGGATCGGTGACAGACCTGGACACAGGACACACGGCAGGATTAGCGATGACAGGCCTGGACACAGGGCAAATGGCAGGATCAGCAACAGGCCTGGATACAGGACACATAGCAGTATCAGTGACAGGCCTGGTCACAGGACACAAGGCAGGATCAGTGACAGGCCTGGACACAGGACACACCGCAGGATCGGCGATGACAGGTCTGGGCACAGGACACATAGCAGGAGCAGTGACAGGCCTGGACACAGGACACACGGCAGGACTAGCGATGACAGGCCTGGACACAGAATGTTGTCTTTGAGAGATCTACAATCAAAACGCAAGCAATGGTATCCAATGGAGACAAACAATTGGCTTCTCGTCAAGACAGACCTGCTACGATTTTGTATACGCCCCTCAGCTGGAGCATGACGTGCGTGCTCAGTATTATGAACACCAGTACAAATATATAGTGTCAGACTACATTATTTTTTATGCACGTCGGGCAGGAAGACTCCGAGGGCGGACCCCGACTGACCGTCCAACGAGAGCCGGCTGGGCGACACGGAGCCCTGCAGCTGGTTGAGGCCGCTGGCGCTGGAGCCCAGCGGACTGCCCAGCTCGCTGCGGCCCGAGCTGGGCAGCAGGTTCAGGGCTGGAGCCGGACGGGCTTCCGAGCTCACTGTCGGAGGGAGCGGGAGGACGTCACCGGACTGCCGCGGCCGGCTCGCATGGCTGAGCGCCGAGTCCCGCGAGCTCCAGCCGTGCTGGCGGCGACGGCGGGCGCGTGTCGCCCTGCACTCTGCCCGAAACGCCCCGGGTCTTGCCACTTCCCATCCTCCCTAAGCTCTGATCCCGCCAGCTCCCACCCACCTGTGCCCCTGATCTCGCCAATGCTGTCCACGGGAGCCCAGGGTGCCACCCACCAGAGCCGCCCCGCGTCCCCCAGCTGCGGTCAGCCACCCGACGCACCTCAGGCCGCGCTCGAGCGACTCGCGCCGGCCGGCCAGCCCTGTGGCCAGCGGCAGGGTGGCGGGGCGGCGCGCCGGGCCGCGGCGCCTCGCCCGGCGGCGGCAGCGAAGCGCGACCCGCCGGTACAGAGGCGGCTGACGTCCGCCGGCGAGGCCGAGCGCGAGTGGGTGCCGCCCGCCGGCGACGAGGCGGCCCACGAGCCCGGGCCCTGCATGTGGCGCATGCAGCGCGTCACGGTCCGCCTGCAACGCCTGCAAGCGGGGCAGATGTTGTCACGGCAGGCGGAGAGGGCGGCGGAGGGCGGACGCTGGCGCGAGCCGCAGCCGCGAAGGCATCGGCGCGGAGGTGCAGGTGCGGATAGGAGACTGTTGCAGTCTGTGGTTAGTTAAGCTGTTAACAAAGTTACAGAGCAGCAAACATACTTAAGTTACCGGGGTCCGTTGCAAGTGAAGTCGCCGACGAAGTTATCAGATATCAAGTACACCCCAGCAAAAACGTTTCGGACAACAGATACAGCCCGCGCTCCCTCACCTTCAGCGCCCACCGCACCCTCACCGGCCGCCCACCATTCACCGACCTGGAACTCGGCGTCCTCCAGGTGCATGGTGAAGTGCGGCTCGGTGCAGAGGCTGACGAACTCGAAGCCCTCCTTGGCCCAGCGCGGACGCAGGCCCTGGCCGCGGGGGCAGTACTCGAGCACGTAGCGGATCCACTGGCGCGCCACGTCGAGCAGCGCCGGCCCCACCTCGGCGCGGCGCTCGCCCGTGATCAGACGCACCCATCTCCTTGTGGTACTGGCCGGCGGGGCGAGCGGGTCAGTGCCCGGCGGTCGGCGCCGCAGCACGCGGTACGCCTCGCCGGGACGGGTCCGCCGGACACTTTACTCGGGAGAGACAGTTCAGAGTCCGACAGGTCGTTCTTCCTTTTCCTCGCTTTGTTGGCTCTTTATGTGAGCAATGTAAACCAGTTTGCAAATGCACAGATCGCTAGAAACGAGCAAAACATACACGTGAATGGACAGCAAAAAGCGTCGGCTGACATCGGGGTGGGTCCCCTCGTGTCGCGGCGCGCCAGCCTACCTCGAAGGAGAACTTGAAGCACTGCTGGACGACCTCGCGACAGCGGGCGGCCAGGGAGGTGCCGTGCGGGTCGGCCAGCAGCGCCGAGCACTTCTCCTCCACCAGCGCCACACTGTTGGCCACCAGATTGCGCAGCTTCAATGCCTCCTCCTGCCAGAGCGACAGCCGGTCAGCCACAGGCGGACGGGGGTGGGAAGAGCGGAGGGGGCCGGGCCTGGACCAGCCCGAGGGTCTCACCCGTGATAGGCTAAGCGGCGATATACATACACGACATGAAGAAACAGACCAACAATATCGACAGCATCGACAGCTTGTTGCTCGTGTGAGCTGACCGCATCGTCAGTTCAGCGAAAGCCACGCCCGTACCTTCAGCACCATCCCACTGATCTTGTATCCGCCAGAGTCTGACCCCTGCGAGCTCCTCCGGGGCTCGTGGCGCACCTCGCCCTCATCCTGAGCTGAGCCGCACCCCCCTCCAGAATCGAAGCGTACCTTGAGCTCGTCCAGGGCGTCCGTGATGGCGCGGTTGGGCGGCGTCTCGTCCCGCTCCAGCGGTCAGGCACGAGCCCATGGCGCGCTGGAACGGCCGCCGCGCGCGCGCCAGGTGGCTGGCGTTGTTCACCACCAGCAGCAGACCTTTGACCTGGCGACGGGAGGAGGCGGACGTCATGACAGGTCGGGTCGGGCCGACCCGACGCGGCGTGCTCTGAGCTCATGGGCTACTGGCCCAGTCCCCTCCAGGCACGCTCACTTCTCCCTACACCTTCCCATCGGGAAGCTCTGTCACTGCTGAATAAGATCCAGCTCACAAGCCCGATCAGCGCACGAGTGAGGACGCCGACACCCCTGCATTTATAACTGCACAGTAGGACGAGCCCCCCTGGTCAACATCGCCCTGCACGAGCCGTCGGCGAAGGCTCAGCGACGCGTGTTCCACCGTCGTGGCCACAGCCCCAAGCGGCGCGACGGACAGCACCCAGGGCCGCCACCACAGCGTGGGCCTCCCGCCCCGCACGCGCCGCCACTCGCCTCCACGTAGCTGAGCGTGATGGTGGTCTCGGCGGTGGGCTCCAGGTGGATGGTGGTGCCGGTCCAACACGCTGTCGACGTCGCCGCAGTCGTGGCAGGCCATGAGCACCAGGTAGCCGACCTCGGCGGGCTTGCGCGAGTCCTGGCGGCTCAGCGTCATGTCCAGCAGCTGCCACACGTACGCCCGGTCCATGCGGATGCTGCCTGCCGACGCGGACACCGAGCCGGCGCGCTGAAGCGTCGCACGGCGCTGGGCGACGTCACACATTGTCGGGACTTCCCAGTCGTCGCAAGGTGCCGAGTGACGTCACACACTGTCGGGACTTCCCCGCCGCTGACATGCAGAGGACGTCGACCGCGCTGCTCTCGGTAACACAGGCCATGAGACGCGCTCCCTCAAGCCATACTATGACCAATCTCCAGCTGATATCAATGAGGCAAAGTGTAGAAATGTATCCGTTGCGAAGTAAAATAATTCATAGGTATAGAATATGACATCTTCACTGATGCTGATATCTATTCAACTTCACCACATGCTAAAGTTACACAATTTCGAACTATTCGAACAATTCATATCAATGCTAATGAACTAATCAACATAAATCTAACGTCCTATCCAACATAGCTCCAGTATCCTATGTTGACTGATTAACAACCACATGATCCCGCCCCCTCCCCCACCCACCGGCGCCAAGGTCAGCGCCGCCCCTGCACTGACCAGGGCGACGGCCGCCGTACCCGGTATGAAGATGACGTGGTTCTGGCTGTGCGGCGCGATGACGCGCACGTGCCCGGTGGCCGCCAGCCGCGCCAGGATGCCGGCCGACGTGCTGCGGATGGAGAACTCGGCGGCGATCTCCAGGTCGCGGCGCAGCAGCTTGGCGAACAGCAGCACCTTGAGCGCGCGATCCTGCGCCTCCTGGAAGAGGCCGCGGAACTCGCGCAGCGTGCTCAGCGTCGACAGCCTGCCGGGCCGCGGGACACACGGACACGCGTCAGCACGACGGCGAGCAACCGCCGAGCCGTGCGGCAGATCGGCTCCGGTCCATACACCGGGCACATGAATGCCGTGGAGCGCCGTAGAAAAGTGTCCGTAGGCCACTGCGCCCATGGAATTAGTACAGTAAGCTAGGACAAGGACAGACAGTACCCTGTGATACGAGCAGTTCGTGACCCCAACGTGCAATCGTGAATATTTCGCTAACATACGCACGAATACTGTTTTTCAGTCCACATCACTCCAAGCAACGTGACACCCCTTCCAACGCCCACCCGTCCACGGGGGAAGGAGGGGACGGGTGGGTCGCACCTGCTCCGCTGTGCCTCGGTTCCGCCGGGCACGCTGAAGGAGCGCTGCAGGCTGGCGATACACGTGTCGATGCCGTTCTCCAGCAGGTCCCCGATGGTCGGCAGAATGTCACTCACCAGGAAGCTGGTCGGAGCGGGGGGCGTCAGTCGGCGGCCGCCGCCAAACATCAGCACGACACGGCACGGCACGACAGTCAGACACACATCCAAACGGCAAAGGCCCTTGCAGGACCGCAATACCGGCGCGCGGCGGGACCACACCGGTACATCACGGCACGGCGTTGGTACACGGTGACACTGTCGCGTTCGTCACTATCTTCGGCGACGCCAGAGCAAGATGGCAGTCGTTGCGCTGTTGTTTTCATCAGTTGACAACCCGAGCCCCCGTGCAGTGCGACACAAGCGTTATCACCTGCCACCTCAGGACTCGGGCCGTCAACCGGCTGGTTGCGGCCGAGTGGCCGGGACCAGCACTGCATGCGGTAGCTGTGCTGGTCCGGTGTGAAACATCGGTGCCGGCATCGAGGGTGTGCCCGGCCCGGACTGACAGACGGGAAAGCGCGTCCAGAGGGACAGATCACGAAGAGCGAGGAAACGCCCCGTTATCAAGTTGCACAGCATACATTATTTTCTCAGGTGGTTGGCTGTTTGGATTAGAGCATTTTTAACAGAATGGTCATTTCCTAGCACGGGATGAAGGAAATGGTTAACGGTGCCGGCAGGCTTGGCTGCACCAGAGGGGCCAACGCCGAGCTTCAACACTCGCTCGGATATGAGGGGGTCAAATAGACCCCCCTCCGACGGTTTTTTCGGAATGGGTTCCGGATGGCGCGGCGTAGCGACGCCAAATTTTGCATGGCTATAAGCAATTGAATAGCAGATTGTGAGGTATCAAAAAATTGGATGTATCTTGTAAGGTTGCTGACCTACGACATGTCAAAGTCAGGCCATGGATTCCGCGAAATCAGTTTCGAAGAAATCGCTCAATCTGATGAAACAACGGAGTGTTAGACGAAGCCATACATCTCTGATACTTTCTTGGGCAACACAACAATTGAATGGCCAAATTCCATTGGCCAAGAGCCGGATATGAAGGTCAGACCAAGGTCAAAACCAGTCAGTTTCACCACTCTAGGGCTTGCTGTTTGGGGTACTTGCTGGTGCTTCATCCCGCCGCCCCCTCCCCAGACATGTCACTCTCGCGAGGTGGCACGTCGAACGCCGTCACGCACTTTCACGGTCGACCGCCATGCTCCATGCACCGCAGCCCCGCTGGACGATCTGGGGGCTCGTCCAGCACTAATGTCGTGTATAATTATTTGCACAAGTAGGGTCGTGTATAAGTAATGACCATATGTGCCTTGGAGCAAAAGTGGTGACGAGCATGAATTTATTGGTTTTGTCGCGTGGCACTTACGTCGTGTATAAGAGTTTGCAGTGAAAGCAGTGTCATGTATAAGTAATGACAGCATAAGTGTTTGCAGTAGAAGTTATGGCGAGCACAAGCGTTGTCGCGGGACACTAATATCATGTAAAAGTTCTGACAGAAGAAGTAACGTAACACTCCTGTCGGTAGGAGTTTTTGTTGTAGCACTCCTGTCGGCAGGAGTTTTTGTCGTAGCACTCCTGTCGGTAGGAGTTTTTGTCGTAGCACCCCTGTCGGTAGGAGTTTTTGTTGTAGCACTAATGCCATGAAGCCGGGATGAGCGGCAGCACAACCGCGAGTCAAGGGGAAAATAGGGGACTGGGGAAGACCTGAACCATCACCAAAAATATCCGACTCTGTGTTGAGCGTGAGCACGCATTGATAACAAGGCTCGCCGCTGCCCTGCGTACCAGTTCCTCACAGACTTGGGCCAGAAGCGGCCGTCAGGCTGCCGCTGCCGCGTGCGAGGGCAGTTACGCGGCGGCGGCCGGCGGCCGGCCTTACCAGAAGTTTCTGCCGGCGATCGCCTCCCCGCTGGCGATGTGCGGGCAGATGCACTTGGCGAACGCCCACTCCTCCTCCAGCAGGTTCTTCTGCGCGGCAGACACCTCGATCTCGCCCTGCATCATCAGCAGCAGCCGCTTGATGTAGTACAGGTAGACCTGCCGACGCCGGCGCGGTTACGCAAGCCACGTAATGGCAATAATGGTGGCAAGATACTAGCGTAACAGGCGGTACGCGCGAACGGAGCAGCCACCGACAATCTTCCAGTCAAACGGGCTGTGTTGTGAGACCTTGGCGGAAACCGGACCGGTGAGAGCTCATTTCGACGTAATGACATCCCGCACGGGCCTTGACTCATCCATCTTGCCGGCCACTTTTACTCGAAAAACGCCCGACGAGGATGGGATTCGAACCCACGCGTGCAGAGCACATTGGATTAGCAGTCCAACGCCTTAACCACTCGGCCACCTCGTCACCTGACACCGCGGCCGTTGGCCTGCTCATCGGACGTGCTCTGCAAACGCTGGCTCAGGTTTCACCCCCGCCGAATCGTTCACTTTTACCATGCGATCTCGCGTGCTCGCAACGGACATACGATTTCAAACCATAAAAACGGTTCGCAAACTTACACGTGTTGGCGAAGCGTTCAACTTTCCTGTCTGTGTCCTTAAAAGGATATAAAACCGGACCCACTTCAGTGTTCAATAATGCCGAATGCCAACCATGGCTGAGCGAATTACAGCAAAGGGCAGATGACCAGACTGAAGGTCACATGTTCGCGGGCATCGCTGGACGTCGGCACTGCCCTGCGCTGCCTAGCAGCCCCGTCGGCCCGGACCACGCCGCCCCTGGGCCGGCTCCCCGGCAGCCGCAGACGGAGCGGCAGCCGCCCACCTCCAGCATCTGCTTGACGTCGGCGTCGAACGACTCGAGCGTCAGGTCCAGCTTGGTCATGCAGAGCTCGCTGCTGGGCGTGGGTCGGATGGCGCGCATGCGGCGGATGAACCTCTGGCGCACCACCACGGCCGCCTTCAGCGCCTCCTTGCACTCGGTGATGAGCTGCCGAGCGAGGCGGCAGCGGTGCTCGTTGGCTGCCATTGTGGTGCGAATGGGGAAGGTCGCGGCTGCAGCCTCATGAGATGAGCGCAGATGTAGTGCGTCAGGGATTCACCAAGCCTAGTGCGCCAGTCCAATGACTGTTTTACAAACTTCCGTGCGAAACCTCCGTGAAAGCGTGTCTGGAAGGCGGATTGTTTCAAAACACGGCTTATCTTACACGTCAGCGTATACGACGTATGCTTACCCGGTGGCAACGATGCCCTCATACAGACAGATCTCCAAAACTGGTCTTTGTCTCTCCCACAGCCACCGCATCAAGGCTGCTCCGAGAGAGTGCCTGGATCTGCTGCTGAGCGCAGCAACACACGTCACGGGGGCAGGACGCCGAAGCCTGCCGTACCTGACGGATGCTGAGGGCACAGGACGCCGAAGCCTGCCGTACCTGACGGATGCTGAGGGCACAGGACGCCGAAGCCTGCCGTACCTGGCGGATGCTGAGGGCGGAAGGCTCCTTGGGCTGCTGCTGCAGCCGGATCTTGACGCACTCGTGCGTCACCTCCAGCGGCACCAGGTTCAGCCACGTGTACACCTGGATGCACGTGGGCCTGGTTCAGGGTCGGACGCGTCGCTCTCGATCCCAGCGCCTCGCATTTGGCAACAGTGACATACGAGGGGCAAATAACATCAGCTGCAGGGTCGCACCACTCGTATTGCTTTGAAAGGAGCTACCTACGTGAAATATCAAGGCGAATCAATTTGTAACGAAAATGCCATTTGCATGACTTCTCCAGGGACAGCATTCCAGGGCTGTGAGTAATAGACCAATCTTGTTCGCTTTTACATCCCATCAATCTGCTCCAAGAATGGAAACATCTTATCAAAGTACCAATGTTCAATTTTGGCATGGGCATACTCAACGCCACACAGGACGTATCTGGCTACTTAAACGGCAGGTTCGTTGCATGACCAGCAATGGTTCATCATGACCAGTTCCAAAGAGGCCAGTTTATCTCTTGCCGACGGGCTACACCAACCCGACCAAGGGTTCACCTCCTGACGAGCGGCGGCCCACGCTGACCCGTTTGAAGGAGGGCAGGTTCACTTCCTCACGAGCGGCGACCCACACTGACCGGTTTGAAGGGGACAGTTCACCTCCTCACGAGCGGCGGCCCACGCTGACCCGTTTGAAGAGGGCAGGTTCACTCCTCACGAGCGCCGGCCCACACTGACCCGTTTGAAGGAGGGCAGGTTCACCTCCTCACGAGCGCCGGCCCACACTGGCCTGTTTGAAGGAGGGCAGGTTCACCTCCTCACGAGCGGCGATCCACACTGACCGGTTTGAAGGAGGGCAGGTTCATCTCGCGCGACGTGGCCGACTCCTCGCCGTACTCGCGCAGCTCGAGCGCCGTGTGGTCGTCCATGCCCAGTGACGAGCCGTCGCTGCTGGTGTACACCTCGCCCGACGGAGAGCCGTCCTGCGCGAGCGACGCGCTCAATGAGGCAGCGGCGCGGCGCACCGCCAGAGCGGAGTCGGGAGCACAGACGGACGACGCCGGCAAGGCGGTGGACGGACGGGGAGTGAACAGCTGGACGGCAGCAGGATGGAGGTGGGCGACAGTGTAGCACGGTAGGATAGCGGCGAGTATGCAGTCTGACGACAGTGGAGCTCACAGACCAAAGCGGGGCGGAGTTTGACGGCTGTGAGCTGACTAAGTGGGGGTGAGCCACGACGCGGACGACGGCTTATGGACAGACGCTACACATGCGACAATGCAGCCCCAGCCAGGGGACCTATGACCATGGCATGTCATGGATGCCAAACATGCAAACAATGGCGTACCTTCTGCTCGTCGGGCGGCAGCAGGCCATGTGCGTCTGGTCGAGGCGCTCTTCAGGTGATTTATGAGTTTGGAGAGGGTCTTCTTCAGGCCCTTGGTCTTCAGGAGCTTTTCCACGCACCTCCTACGAGCCAGTTAATAACTGTTAGCAAACACATCATGGCGTTGTGCAAGTGAGAGGGCATGAAGTTATGAATATGGGAATGCATGGAGACATACCGGTAGCAAGGATGAAATTTTGTATAAATACGAGACGCCAGCACTCAAATATATCGATGGGTCTGACACTGTGCAGTTCAGGTAAGAAATATCCTACGAGCCTACACAGAGCATCATGGCCACCGTGAGCGAAACTATCATACGCATTAAAGCAAGACTTTCCCGCACCGCTCCTACAAATTCGTCCATGACACCAGTTCGGATCAGGCTATGTCGCCCTGGTGCTCCTGCAGCGCGCGGGCTGCTCACCTATACCTTGTGTCTTGCTGTCGCGTCGCCTCGGCCAGATCGGAGGAGGCGGTGCTCACCGACCAGTGGGTCTGCGCGGCTCCTTCTGCGCGGCACCGGCCGGTCAGGGTCCGGCTCCGAGCCTGGCGACAGCCGCGGCGCGTCACGCACCGCGCCGTGCACCGCGCACCGCAATGGACGCAGCCAACA